GGGTTCGTTGGACGGTCTGCTCACCCGCCCCGCCCTCGTAAACCGCTGGGGCATGGCGAGTGTGGACCCTTTGCGTGACATCGTGAGGGTCAGGATGATTGAGTCGAGCGAAAAGGTCAAACTCCAAGTCACCTTCGAACTCCGATTGGACATGGGACGCTCTTTGAGGTCAGGTCATGGAGGCGTGACCTTCGCGAGTTGCTGGAAAGGAGAGAGTTGGAGAAAATAATTTTAGGTTGTGGTCGGTGTGGAATGTGGGCGTTGAAGCTGTTGTAAAGGGTGTTTACAGTGATGTGTTGTTATTATTGTTATTAATGTTATTGTTCTCAGCATTATCGTCAGTATTATTATCCTTAGCGTTATCAATATTACCATTATCTTTATCATTATCATAATTACTATTGGTACCACCACTAATACTGGTAATAGTACAAGTATTGTTGCTGCTGCTGCTGCTGCTGCTGCTGCTGCTGCTGCTGCTGCTGCTACTACTACTACTACTACTACTACTACTACTACTACTACTACTACTACTACTACTACTACTTCTACTACTACTACTGCTACTACTACTACTGCTACTGCTACTACTACTACTATTGTTACTACTACTACTACTGCTGCCGATTAAGAATATAATGACGGTGTTGATGATGGTGATGATGATTACTTAGGTAAACCTAACACCGATAAACATAATATTACGCCTCAGATTAAACAAACAATGCTTGGCCAGTCACAGAGCCATGTTCTCGAGACAATAAAAATACAGTGTATTATCATTATTATTATTACTATTATTATCATTTGTTTTATCATTATCATTGTTCTAGTTATAATCATATTGTCGTTATCATTACTATTTCCATTATTCTTGTTGTTGTCGTTGTTGTTACCTTCCATAACAGGAGTATCAGGAGCATTATTCATATTGTTATCATCATTTCTATGATTAAGATATCATAATGATTATCAACATCATTATTCAAGTTATTGGTGTTGTTATTTTTTCTTTTACTATTTCAAAATTAGTCATTCATCTATATCATGCATCAAATCGACCAAGATATTCAGCTGAAATTATTTATCATTGAAATTTTACAATTAGCTGTGTGTCCATAATGAAGGAATAATTTTATTAAATATCAAAAGTTATTATACTAATAACACTAATACTAATATTAAGAGTAATAATACTAATAAAAATATGGAAGAATGAATAATCTTATACAGATGTATAAACACACAAAAACTTTAATGGTATTCAGAAAGATTTCTATAAGTCCTGTGCATGTACAAAATTGGGCACGTGTTTGTAAGTACAATAGCGACATCGTGCTGTATCGTAAATAATGACACCTGCTTTAACATAGATATCTTAGTATACCCTAACTACGTACGTTTTCGAATATCGCGTGACTGAATTTTAGCGTGTTTCTGTGTTTCTGGCAAGTCTGTTTTTCTCTGTTTATTTCAAAATCTGTGTTAGCTATTTGTCTAGATTTGTCCCTTTTGTTGTGTTTGCTTATTTGTTTATTTGTTTTTTTTATATTTTTCTTTGTTTGCAAGTTTATATTTCTGAGTATTCGTCCGCATCCCTGTTGCTGACATACTGGGTCATGTATTTATTTTAAAATTGCGCCATTCATGAATGTCTTCATATCAATCTACGGTTCCTTTCCTCCACTTATAACGCAATAAAGCAATTGTAACTACTTCTCCCTCGAAATTTCCACGTCAAGTGCTTTTCTTCTTTATAAACTAAAGTGGTATAAGAAAGAGTTGTTGTCTTTGCTGTCGATACTGATGTTGATAGTATTGTTGTTATTGTTGATCGATTTATCGTTGTTATTGTTGTTTTTGTCATTGTTGATTCTGTTGACGGCATTCCATTGTTGCTATGATTAATATTGTAGTTTATATTGGTTTTGATATTATTAATGTGTTGCTATTGATGTTATAATCATGGGCCGTGTTGCTGTTGGTATTGCCATTCTTTGTGTTGTTATTGCTACTGTTATTGTTGTTATTGCGCCGTCATCGTTGCTTGATTTCGATTATTGTTGCTATTTTTCGTTGGTATCATTCTTGTTGTTGTTGTTTTTTCCAGTCTTATTGGTGTTCCTACAAAAGCTATTCCTGTCAAAATTACCACTATTAAAGCCATCCATTTATCTTTGTTGCTAGCGTTGCATATCTTACTGTTAGTATTGCCCTTGTTGCTACCACGACCCATTCTTCACACAGGCACCAGAGTTCGTGCAATAAAATTCCCCAGATTCTACAAACCGACCTTCCCAGCAATACATTTCTCGTGGCTATAGCGACCACAGCATGATATCCGAATGCAGATTTATTCCGGTATGGGACCTCGTTCGCCTATGTAATTACTGTGATTATTTTTTATCATTATCATTATTATTACTATTATTATTATTATCATTATTATTATTATTATCATTATTATTATTATTATTATCATTATTGTTGTTGTTGTTGTTATCGTTGTTGTCATCTTAATAATGTTGTCATTTTTACGATTATTCTTGTAATTATTGTTATTATAATTGTTATCATTATCATTATCACTAATTTTATTATTATTATAATAGTAACAACAACTTCAACAACAATAATATAGCTAATAATGGTATTGATAATACTGATGATTAATAATAATAATAATAATAATAATAATAATAATAATAATAATGCTACTACTACTGATAATAATAATGATGATGATAACAATAATATTAATAATAATAGTAATACTTATTATTATCATTATTATCATTATTACTATGATTATTATCAAAATTAATATTATTATTATTATTATCAGTATCATTATCATCGACATTATTCATGATTATCATTTTTGCTATTATTATTCGTTTACTGTTATTATCATTATTATTATCGTCATTCTCCTCATTATCACCGTCATCATCATTATCGTCATCATCATCATCATCATTATCATCAACATCGTTATCATCATTATCATCATCATCATCATCAACATCGCCGTCCGTATTATAACTAGTATTATTTTATCTTTTACTTGTTTGCCTTCCATTTTTTTGTTATTTAAAAACGATTGGTTTCAAACACACACACACACACACATGCACACACACGCACACACATACACACACACACACAAACGGATGCACTTATGTGTGTGCGTGTGTGTGTTTACGTTTATAAGTGTTTTTGTCTATCTGTGTGTACTTTTGTTTGTGAGTGTATATGTGTGTGTGTGTGTGTGTGTGTGTGTGTGTGTGTGTGTGTGTGTGTGTGTGTGTGTGTGTGTGTGTGTGTTTGTGTTTGTAAGCGTGTGTGTGTATGTGTGTGTAAGCGTGTACTCTAATCTTTTAGTATAACCATTATCATTGCATTTCGTAATGTCACCCTTTCATTACCATTATCAATATTATTACCAGCACAACATTCACATTATAGCTCTTACCACTGACATACATATACACACACATATATATATACACATATATATACATATATATTTATATACATATATGTGTGTATCATTATCATCATCATCAGCCTGAATCAATTCACTGCAGGATGTAGGCCTCTCTTAATCTTTTCCATTTTGTCTTTTTTCCGGTCTTGGCCCCAAATTTCGTTATTTCGTCACGCAATCTTGTCATTGGTCTGGCCTTGGCCTCTTTATGTTATCTATAGCCCAGTCTGTTACTTTCTTTGTCCATCTGTCGTCCTGTCTCCATCATATATGACCTGCCATTGCCACAAGTATATCTTCCACGATTTGTTTGTTCCCTGATCCACGTCGCCCTCGTCCGATCTCTTAGGCTGATTCCCAGTGTCAACCTCTCCATCCCTCACTGGGCACTTATTAGGTTCCTCTCCATTAATTTGGTTGTAGTCCATGTTTCTGATCCATAGGTTATAACTGGGAGGACGCACTGGTTAAAGACTTTTCTTTTTAAACTTAAAGGCAAGGAGCCTCTTAGTATGCTACTGTGTCTGACGAAGGCGTTCCAGCCTATACTGATGCGTCGCTTAATTTCCTCTTCGCTTGATGTGTTTGTACGAGTTGCCTAGGTATATATACTTGTCTATTACCTCTAGCGCTCTACTTTGTACATATATCTGTGAGCTCTACTGTTGAACATGATCTTAGTCTTTTTCTTGTTCATCGTAAGTCCGACTTTCAGACTTTCTCTATTCGGACCGTTTATTAGTTGCTGCATTTCATTTGCAGATTCACTGAAGAGAACAGTATCATCTGCAAATCTTAGCTTGCTTAGATATTGGTCTCCTATTTTGATACCCCTTCCGTTCCATTCTTGATTCTCGAATATTTCCTCAAGGCAAGTTGTAAAAAGCTTTGGTGAGATGGTATCGCCCTGTCTATCCCCTTTTTAATTGGCATTTTATCGGTTTCCGTGTGGAGCTTCATGGTTGCTGTCCCATCTTCGTATATTTCTTTTAATATTTTGCAATATACCTACTCTGCTCCCTGTCTTCGAATAATTCTAGTACTGCTGATATGTGTACAAAGTCAAATGCCTTTTTCACAATCGATGAATGCCATAAACAGGGGTTTCCTATATTCGTTTATTTTTTCTCTTGTTTGGGTGAGCGTGTGGACGTGGTCTGTTGTTGAGAATCCACTGCGGAAGTCTTTTCTCTTGGTTGGTTAGAAGCCAGACTGTCAGAGATGCGAGTTGTGATTTTAGTGAACAGTTTGTAAGTAACTGAAAGGAGGCTCATGGGTCGGTAGTTTTATCGATCCTTTCTGTCCCTTCTTTATGTATCAAAATAATTGTTGTTCCAGGCTTTCGTTGAGTTTTTCCGTTGAGAAGGCATTAGTTAGAATTTTAGATTGTTTAGGTATTTGTCTCCTAGTTTTTCTGTTGAGAAGGCATTAGTTAAAAAGACTGGCTAGTTTCACTGTTGCAATTTCTCCTGCATCTATTATAAGGTCTATACTAATTCCGTCTTCACCT